TTTGTTTTAGTTTGAATAGATTTAAATTTATATATCCAAATTTTCACATTTATTTATATACTTTTATACTCTCTCTATTTTACGTAATTTAAAACTTCAATAATATTTTTCATAAAACTTATTTGTTTAGTTTTTTTCTCATAAAGGATAGATTATTATATTTTCGGTATATGAAATAGAATACGACAATATATATTAGTTTTTTGAGCTTAATATGATTCATTCGAACTCGATTTTTCTGTTTGTTGTTGACAACACTGATATGAGGTGTAATAATTTATTTTTTTCATTTTTTTGTTTAATCTGTTTTAGTTTAATAATTACTAAAATGGTAAAAGTAATTTATTTTTACAAATTCGGATTTTTATACAAGATAATTAATCTTATGAGGTATGTTTGAGTCAATCGGTTAGATTTAAACAAGTATAAAATATATTTTTTAATTAGATGTAGCAAAAAATCAAAAAATATATCTATTTAAAAATAATACTATCTTGATTTGGTAAATAGTAAAAGAGGTCAAATATAATCCTACTTAAATATGATTAGAAATATTTAACTGTTTGAATATATGTGATATAATTTAATTAAAAATAAAAAAATATAAAAAAAAAATATAAGAATACAATAGATAAATATTTTATGGACTTCTATATAAATGATTTTGTAATAATGTTTTCAATTTTATGTTATTATTTAAATGGAGTGATTTAATTTTGTCTTTTATCTTTTCGTCTTTGATTTTTGCAAGTTATAAAATATTCAAGAGTAAAAATAGTTCAAATAAAAATAAGAGAAATAATCCATCAACATTTTCAAAGTAGATATTTGAATAGTAAAATAAGATTAAAAGTAAATTTTTTTACCAACTTTAAATAGGATCAAGAAAAACTAATAATTTCAACAGATGTGATAAAATTTCATTGTAAATCAAATAACAAAAATATAAAAATTAATAAATAAATGATATTCTTCTCGATCAATTGTTTTGCATAACACTCTTACTTTGGTTTTATTTATGTTAACGGATGATTCAATTTTGTTCACTATAATTAAATATTTTATTTTCCATAACTTTATAAAAAATTAAATCACAAACCCGCATATATGCGGGTCTTTCATCTAGTAAATAATAATCTATGGTCATAACCACATAATTTTTTAATATCAAACTGATTTAATATAGGGAAATTAGGTAGAATATTACCTAATAGACATCTAATTCATTATCTAACATCCAATAAATTAAAATATAATAACAAACAATATTAGGTAGAGGGGGACGGATCCGGATATCTTGGAATTTCAGGATATCTGGATCCGGATTCGTGGCCTCCGGATATCGGATCTTTGAATATCCGGCCAAAAATCAAAACATTATTCTAAATATCCGGTCTTTGAATATTATGAAATGGTTTTGAAAAATTGTGATATGGTAAATTTGAATCAATGCAATATCTTTTACCAAATATTCTAAAACTATCTTGCCATAAATAAAGCAAAATAAATTTGAACTAATATTTTTATAATATTTTTGTTTTTCATTTAAAATCTGTTTAAAATTAAAT